TATATATATATATATATATATATATATATATATATATATATATATATATATATATATATATATATATATATATATATATACATATATATATATATTATAGTCAAACAAATATTAGTCAAATCAAATATATGTGATAGCCAATGCCAAGTATGTTTCAATTGTCATATTGAATTCTTATGTATTAAATGATGCTGAAATTAATTTTTAAAGAGTTTTCAAATAAAATTGAAATACTAAAATCAATCAATCGATAAAGCCATATTCCATCATTGTATACTTCCAGAATGTTATGAAAATAATTCTCTTTATGTTGCAATATCACTATTAACAATATTATCACTATCATTATTATCAATACATATTATGAGCTTTTCCAATCTCTTTACAATCATTTTTAGGTCAAAATTCAACAAATTTACAATTGGAATGAATGGAATACATATGGCATTTTTGTCGTTGCAATAAAAAGATCAGAGTATCGCCCATCATTTTCGTGATCTTATCTTTTACTGTTACACACACATAACACACACACACACACACACACACATACAAACATACATACACACACATACATACACATATATACATACACAGATATACACACATATACACAGATTAACAACAACATACTGCTCAAATAGATAAGATGAGATCAGAAGTATTTCGGTGGCATAAGTTGCTTGATAAGTATATGTGTGTGGGAACTTTGTTATCAGTCGTTGACACTTATCACGAAGAGATCACATAATATGATTATATTGTAGTTGAGGAAATGGTTTCGTTTTTTTTTCTTATTGTGATAATAATGATAAAACATTATTTCAGCAATGATTCTTTGTTTCAAATATCAAATTTTTCAATGGAAATTTAAATTTTAAATGAAAAGCTTGATTCCTACGAAAAGTCAGTAGCACTCTCAAATGATAAGTGAATGATATAAAATATTGAAATGATAAATTGAAAAATTGTCACACAATAACGACAGGAGAATAATGTGGAAATAAAGTGGCAGTAGTAGAAGTAGTAATAGTAAAAGTAGATAAAAGCGAAGGATGTTTACATTCTATCAAGAGAAATTGAATTTCCTATCTTTAAACATTTGAATTTAATTCTTACTGGAAATAAAAACTTTTCATACTTGCTAGACTTACAGTACGAAAAAAAGTTACTCAATTCTATTTCGGGAATTTTAAATTTAGACATAAATGCATTTCAGGTACTGCAACAAGTCATACTGCTTGAAGTTCTTTTCTAATGTTAACAGATTGGATGATCATTTCTGATATAAAAATCAAATTATACCCTTTTGGTCTTTTTCAATTTTCAAATTCAGAAGCTTACTTTGATTAGTCTGTCTCACATTGAACACTCTTTTAACTCTTATTACATTTCTCCATGTCTACCATATTTCATATATTTGGATTTTAACCCTTTCCATTTCATTATCTCCACATCATTCATTCATGTTATTTAGGTAATTCATGACTTGTTCAATCATCAATAAGCACAAAATTCATGGATGTGATTTAAATTGAGCATGAGAAAAGGATCGGATATAGCTAATTTTGAAAATAACTATTTCAAGGCATTTAAATAATGTTGAGATATCGGCCAGAAACTTATGAAGGTTAATATTGGGATATTGGCCAAGAACTTATTATGAATGCAAACAATTCAACTACTTTATATGTGCAAATATCAACCAACCTTGCTTTCATTCATTTCCACTACCGATGACATGTTTGGAATTGGGGGTGTCTCATTTTTTTTCTTCAAATCTCTGCTTCGTTGGGATCGAGTGGTACGTAAGTTTGGCCGCTTTGATACTATTGTGAAATTTGATATCACTGAAATTTATCATTATTAATTTTATGGTAATTTTTAAATTCAAATTTGGGAACTGAATTTTTCTGATTATTTTGTATTAGCATACAATTTCCAAAGACTATAACTAAAGTCCATTCTCTTATTTAATTATCTAAATCCATTTTGAAACTTAGAATCTATGTTAGGTGTCTACTTATATATATGATAAATAATCACTTGAATTAATAATGTCTTTTGAGAGGACTTGAATTGATACGTCAGTTAACTTTTCAAGTCCGTAAACAATAGTATATGAAAACTTCAAATTGAAGAACTTTGATAAGTGTTGTTCAAAAATAACCAAACAAACATGCAATTAACAGTAGGAATCGAACCTGTGACATCTGCAATGATAAAATTAAAAGATTCATTTGTAACATTTAAGAATGGCGCAATTTAAACTTTCGAAAATAATATTAGGCTGTCAGTAAATTGAGCGGAAATTTAATGATTAAAACGAATTATGCAAAGGATTGTTGCATTTATGCGTGGGCGAATTGTATTATAATTCAGAATAAAATTTAGAATAAAACGCATTGGACAACGCATTGGGATTACAACTTGTGACGAAAGATAGCTTCAACTTTTGTGAATGTAATATAAAAGTAAGCAAGCAATTGTTTTGGAAAATCAATAATTTAAATAAATATTTATGCAAAGCTAAACTGTCACCTTTGCAAACAAATATGTCAGCAATATTGGCAGTAAGCAATGAATGAATATGGAATACTGATAACAGTTGAAACTTACCGGATTGTTTTCCCGCTTTGCAGAAAGTGCATAAAGAGCTCATCCTGTAAAGCGGGAAGCAGTGAAAAAATTTGCATTCTCTGGAAAATTCCAAATGACCTAATAGATAAAACATCAAAGAGTAAAATAACGGGAGAGAGAGAGACTCTAATAACTTCGTAGGGTATTACTGAGTAATTAAGCCTAGGTTGGCTAGGTTGATTTATATTTTCAGAATTTTGAAAATCCTGTAAACAGCGCCTGGCTCAAATAAAATCGCAAAGTTTACCCTATTAATAATAAAAATATATTACTGAGCACAACTTATCCTATTTCAAAATTTTCGTAAATATGGTTAGGCAAATAGCCAATGGTGGACGATGGCTCGTGAAGTTAAACAGTTGTTAGCAACATAGATCTTAATTCGTTGCACTATAATGCAATACTACTGACATAAATAAATTTTAATTATCGATCAATCAAAGGGACCTAATTTTGATTAAAGTTTTTGCACCAATCCTAAGTTTTCTTATGTGTTTTGTTGTAATTTTTGCTTAAAAATAACAAATAAGTAGTGTAGCATACTTTGATCATCTTGACTAAACTGGACAATGATTTGTGAGAATTTAAAAATTAATTTCCAATTTTAAATATTCTCATTTACGTAATGCCAAGCAGTTTCATAATTGTCCCATATTTTTTGATCTAATAATTCTTGCAAAAGAATGTCACCTTATACTTCACTGAGTGTAGCATTTTAGGTTTTAGTGCCAAAGTCTGCTAGCATAAAGCTATAAATTCTTCAATATAGCGCTTTTCAACTTAGTTATTCGTCGATTACTACGCCATCACTTTCAGGACAGCTGTGAGAATTGAAAATTGTTGAATTATATCTTCAATTTATTTCTGAATTTTTTTCATGTGTCAAAATTAAATTTCAATTTCATTCATCTTTTTAAATTATAATGCTTGTTATATCTAGTTCTTCAGTATAGTTATATCTAGCTTGTTTCTATCTGGCAATGAGTTTTCATTATTTTAAAATCTCGAAAAATTTTCAGAATTGGCCATATTTGTATAAAAACAGCCAGAGACTCATTTCTCTTTTTTTTCTTTATTTGTCTTTAAAATTTTAAATTATTTAACTTCCAGCTATCTTTTTAAGCATTTTTTTGTGAATTGTTTCAAATTTTGATTCTTTCACTAATTGACTAAATCCATCCTTTGACACTGCTTATGTACTGAAGTATAACAAAGTATAACTAAAAGTATAACATGATGGCTTGAAAATTATTAGGCACCATAATGCATGCTAATAATTTGGCTAATTAAGGCTGGTTATAAAGTTGATCATTGAAAAGAAAACGCCTACTATTTGCTTGTTACTATACAGTGGAAATATTGTGGACGATATTTCTAAGGGATGTCAAAAAGAATCCACTGTACTCATGCCTTCAGATCTTGTGTCACATGGACCTTTAAAGGTGTTGTTAATATTCAGCGCAAAGGTCGGAACCAATTAATTAATAATTGTAAACTAAAAATTAAAAACTGCAATTTTCATTGAAATTCCCAATGCACATTGTTAGTCATTCGTAAATTTCGAGTACATTTTGTATTTGTCACCCGAATGTTGACAATAATGCATTAATTAGAAAAATTAAGTGATAACAAAGCTAATGCTATTTGGTGAAGTTAGACATAAGAAGAATTAATGGCCAGACTCAATTGGAATCTTAACTTCTTTTAGTTTTAATGTTGAAAATTAATGGAGTATAATTTGCTAATAAAAGTCTAAACATAATTTTTGGATAATTAATGGGAGAGAGAAAGAGAGAAAGAGAGTGAGAGAGTGAAAGTGAAGATGGATAAATATGATGAAAAGGCATAATTCAGGTAATAATATATGATGAATAGAACTATCCCTTTGTAAGGAGATAGGTAGCACTTGCCAGCATATTCAGGTCACAGCATTTGTCATACGATTCATATCACCGTATTATATCATCCTTATCATTTCATTTCTATCTACTAATCAGCAAAAGGTTAATCTTCCTATTCGTTACTGATGACTTATCATTAGCGTTTCATTTGCTTTAATCACCAATCAATTAAAAAATTAAAACAATGTTTTAATGAATCATATCTCGGTTACTGTTTGATTTTTATTATTTTTTAGGTTTATAACATCATATTTAAATATTTCTGAATTGGTTAGCTAATGAGAATTGTGGTCATCGGTGCAGGACCAACCGGTCTCGGTGTAACCTATCGTTTTCATCAATTACAAAATAATAATATGGTTGTTGCTAAAAATGTTGAATTAGTTGTGCTAGAAAAGGTTGGTGATATGAAGAAAATATTGGTCTCATGTCTCATTAGCTCTTCACACAACATGACATGCAAAAGTCATAAACTATCAATTTTAACTCTTCATATGATTCATTCATAGCTGTGAAAGAACTGGACAAATGAATGAAATTCTTTTGAGATAATAAAACCTTTTACAAATTATTTGATAATAAAACTTGAATTTGAAATTGGATTTTCCGAAAATACTAACAGTAGAAAAGAGAAAAATTTATTATTTATAATTATTGGTGAAATTAAAAAAACCACCAAACTTTTATTAAGGATTGAGAATCGTTCAGATCTGATTCATCCGGATTACAATTATCATTCGGATTACTCCGGAAATAAGATCATGTTATTAAAATAATACGGTTACACGAAATGGGTGTAAAGAATGGACTTGAAGTTCAAATGTTGTATAGGCATAAGCATATATTTGCGCATATTTGATGATGAAGGAAAAAGTTGTAAGTATAAAAGGCCCGATAAGTTTCTTGTTATGTGACAATTCATAATTTTTTAAATGTCCTAAACCACCTAACTTTAAAATTTAACTTTTAAGATTCTATTAACAAAATTGTGTCACTTCTATTAGTCAGAACTCCAGAAAAGATTAATATTTCCAATTCACCTTCAAAAAATGTAGGCATTATTGACTTATTTGTTTTCTTCAATGTAATGATATCGTAGTGATAATTGAAATTGTGGAAATGAGAGCATTTATTTCTTCTTGTTATACTGAGACAATGTATATGATAAATAATACAAAATTAGAATGATAATGATAAGATTGAAATCAACTTTAGTGATATAATGAAGTACAAGGAGAAAAGAGCAAGTAAAAATCTTTAATAGAAAGATAAAAAGACAAGAATTTCTGCAGATTGGAATTTTCAGAAAAAAAGAACGATTTGATTAAATTTTTTTTCAAGTTTTAATTTGTTAAAAGTGATTCCAGTAGTTTTGCAAAGTTTATACCTTCGTAAAAAGTGTTGAATGTAGGAGTTATCACCTGGTGGATTAAGTCGTACAGTTATGGATGAAAATGGATTTTTCTGGGATATGGGTGGACATGTCACTTTCGATCATAATTTGCCTTATTACAAAGAGGCAATATGCTGGGCGGTCGATGAATGGAATATTCTGACGAGAAACTGTCAGGTTTAATTTTTCGAATATACCAAAAGTAGTTGAAAAAATTTGTCATCAATTTTAATGATTTAAATAAACATCTCACAGTATGGAACTTGTCCAGAAGAGGTGAATGATGTATGCGCGATATCCGTCAACCTTTCAAGTGAAGGTTGAGTACCATGATAATACAATAAAGTTTTAAGGGGATTCTTCCGAAGTACCACATTCTTTTAGGTTGATATCAGCTATATGTTCAACGAGAACGGTTTGCATCTTGTACCATATCCAATACAATATGCAGTAACAATGTTTCCAGCAAACATTAAAAAGAAATGTCTGGATGACCTGCGAGATCGATGTAAAGGACCGAAGGCAAGTAGATATTTGCTGATAATGAAATTCGATAAATTCTTTACTGATATGATGATTCCCCGTCTAACCATTTCATGTAGGATTTCCATTGATCCGGAGATATTATTTGCTAAAATTTTGAATGTCTTTTCTCACATTGAATCATTTATTAGAATGCATCCTGTTGGTAACATAAATCCATAAGTTGGATTCGGATGAGCAACAGCTTCCAGAAGACGGATTCTAATGCTGACCGCATTTACATTCTAAATTGACGAGATTCTGAATCTGAACTAAGGAAAATCGGATCTGCGATCTGCGTTATGTCATCGCGCATTTCTCAAAGCATATGCGTATCTCAGTCTGACTTATCAATCTTTAAGATTTTATTGATTTGATGAATGAGTATTCTTTCTAGGATACAATTTTGCCAAAAAATTTTGATGATTGGATCAAAAAACATTTCGGGCCAACACTGAGGAATTACTTCTTCAAGCAATATACTCAGAAGGTTTGTTCTTAAATTGATCGATTTGGACAGTTAATTATCTCATCTGAAATATGTCATCACATTTAGAATCTCCGTCGTCTTTAACATTCCTTAATGATCAATTGAGCTAGCTGAGAGTAAAAGATGGAAGCTTCTGGTGTAAACTGGTGCAAATCCACCCTAAGTTGAGCGATGATTTGAAATATTAAAGGTCTGGACTGTAAATCCGGATCAGATGAATCCGGTATGGGTTGGAACTCGAATTGCTAAGATGCCTTATGAAAAACTGGAGGAACTTTGTGCTATGAATGAAAAAGATTTGAAGGTACCCCTTGGTTTTTTAACTGCGAAGACAATCTGTTCAAAGTATAATAATTAGCGATCAAAATCACTGGACAAAGGAGGCCAGGTAAATTGGAATAGGCTATTGAGCCAGAGAGAAACCACTTCCTCAGCCTCAGTGAATGCTAAATGTATGATTTATGGAAGGGGTCTATTTTTTCCAATTTGGGACCATTTCAGTAAATTAATCTTTTTCTATAATTTTATTTCATGCAATGTTCGCAGAGTATCGTTTGTATTAGGAACAATTTTCAGGAAGCTGACCTTGGCTGGGGCCCAAATGCTGAATTTATGTTTCCCAAACGCTATGGAACGGGGTCAATATGGAAATCAATGACTAACAAATTGCCATCTGAATGGTTTCATTTTGGATGCGAGTCAAGTTTTTAATTTTTTCTTAGCTTAGCTATCGATCAACAAAATGTAATCAGTATCTTTCATCTCGGATGAAAAATGCATCCGAAGCATCTTCGGGAGAAAATAATCCTCGGGATTTGTCCAGAACTGTAGAAATTGTTTGTTCTGGTGAAAAAAAAGTGTTTGAACTGTGATAGAATACGTGAGATTATGCAAGATTATGCGCAATCATAACATGCAAAACCGGATTCAAGCCTAGGCAACTTCCGAAAATTTCTCTCAAATTGAAAAAAGTTTTTTTTTTCTCTTTGAAAATCTTTAAGTATCCTAACGACAAGATGGTATTGTTCTAGGCAATTGACATTGATGTTAAAAGTAAATTAATTACATATGAAAATGAACGACGGGGAACGATAAAACTTAGCTACGATGTGCTTATCAGTACAGAGCCTATTGATCAACTAATCAAACACACTAAATTATGTCAAGAACTTGATTTAAAATACAATAAGGTAAAAGTCATTTAACTCTTTTAACTAGTATTACTTCATCATTTGGAAAAATTGATTAACTAAATAGTATTATAATGTTCCAGGTGTTTGTAATTGGTATTGGTCTAATAAAGCCAATGAATCATAACGCGGAGCGATTCACCTGGCTTTATTTTCCAGAAAATACTGTACCATTCTATCGTGTCACCTTTTTATCACGTTATGGTGAAATGACACCAGATAATGATAAATATTGGTCGGTACTATGTGAATGTGCTCGTGACATTAATGATAACGATGTAAGTACTTCATATGGTAACAGTTATTTTCTTCATTTACTTATGGGATTACCAAATTTATCTAGATTTGAAGGTTATCACTGAAGTAGGAAAAGGTGCAATGATTATAACACTTATCAGAGTATTCCATTGCTTAATTAATTGTTTTTATTGTTAAATTTTTGGAAAGTAACAATTTGAACATGTTAATTTCTCTAAAGTAATTTGTAAACTATTATGATAATTGTAGTGATTTGCTAAGTTTGACAAAGAGAATATAATGTTTTGGAGGTCACTGAGAAAGAAATAACAGAAAAAACAATTGAATGTCTGATCCGGAAATCAATCATTTCACGTGAACAAATTGTTAGTCTCTTTTCAATATTGTTGCCATATGGATATCCTATACCAACCATAAATGTTAGTAAATTCATTTTTATTACTTTTAATTTAATTATTTATATTACCATATGTACACTCCATGTCAATAAAATTAGCATAGATTTACTTTTATGGTACCTCTATGTGACACCTATGTGAGGCACACACTACAACTAAATCATTCTCGAAACAAATTTAAATTTAAAGAGATGACATCATTTGATATGGAATATTTGCAGAGAGATGAAGAGTTAACTCGTGCTCATCGAGTTCTCGAGAAGCATGAAATATATTCGAGAGGTCGATTTGGTGGTTGGAAATATGAAGTGGCAAATCAAGATCATTGTTTCATGCAAGGAAAAGAGATTATTGATAGAATATTGTTGGGCGAACCAGAAACAGTGTACAAAAATGGATTATCACCATCTTAATGATTAAATATTGGTTCTGTTAAGAAAACTCATCTCTCCTACTCTAGTGGCTTATCATCATAGTGATACTTTATCAATAAACACCCAACAGTCTAACCGAAATTTTAACCTTCTTCTTGCTTGATAGTATTATCAAATTTTATCAATTCATTTTAATACATTTTCATTTGTCTTAAATTTCTCCTTTTCCGTCCTTTAAAAAATAATTGAGAAAAAGTTATGCAAATAACTCTTGGTTTATTGAGCAAAATTATAATGTTTGGTGATATCTTGGAAGTTCTAATCGAAAAAGTAAAATGAAAAACTTGTTGTTGAAAGTGAAGAATTTAATATTGATGATGGAGAATGAATGATTCTTTTATTTTGTAGCAAACTTTTACAACTTCTTAGCCAAAATTGGTTACTAGACTGTTTCAAAGCAATTACCAAATCATACAAGATACTACTAAAAAGGTAGAACAAGGACGATGAAGGATAAATTGTTGAATATTGCCAATTCAAGATTTGATATCTTAGGCTTAGTTTTTGACCTGTCCAGAGTTGTTCCAAATGTTTGGCAAACATATCCAATTTGTGTAAACAATTGATGATTGATAATATAATTATTTGATAATGTTGATTGATAATGTTGACAATCACATAATAAAGAAAAAATGGACGAATAACTTTATAAATTCTTTTCCAAGCATCTTTTGCTTTTGAAATACAAAGATTTTTGCGCGATATTTTGTTATCATAAATTGCTTTCAGCTAAAAAACAATTGATAAAGGCATAAAATTGATTAATCATTTTCCTCAACTTAAAATTTCAATAATTCAGAAATCAGCCAAATATTAATGATAATACTTCTGCTATTATCACTATGCTTTATCAATACAGCAGAGGTTCTTTTAAAATTTCTAAGCATTTTAAGTATATGTCATTCAGTATGCTCAAACATGAAATGTGTCACATGTAAGGAATTGGTAGCATATAATGAAAACAAACCTTCCTTTTTGCAAATGAAATAACTGACTTTCTTGTTGCAGATAACTGCTTGCAATTCACCACCTTCAAAAAATGTCTCTTGCAGTTTTATTTGTTCATCTGAAAAGTTAAATTATTTAATTGAACGATAATTTCCCGAGGAAAAAAAGTCTGAGAATTCAAATGCATAAGTACCGGTGTTATCCATTTACAGGGTTGTTTAGTGATTGTCATTAACGATAAAAGTATTCTTTACAGTTTATTTTATGTTCGATATTCATTTCCAAACAACATTCTGCATCATTTGCAGTAGTGGCATTGGGAAAAGGAAAAATTCCTGATGAAATGCCGCCTTCCATCGTACGCCATTCAGGTGGATCCGTACTACAACGTGTGTAGCCTAATAGTAGCGAACGATCTCTTGTATTAGGTGCCAATGTATTGGCAAGACCTCAAATAATAATCATTTATAATTATCCATTAACTACTATTACTTGAAAATTAATTAACTTATTTTACCATTTTTAGGAGAAATTTAGAAGAGATGAACAAACCATAACTTCTAATATAATTTTTAAAATATTTTAGTTAAGACACAAATTTAACAATCATACTGATTGTTAAATTCAACTGATAACAGAGTTTCTAACTTGCTAAAAAGTAGAAACTCTGTTATCAATTAAATTATCATGATATCATGTTAATTAAATGATAACATGACATACGTGTAACATAAGACCATTCACCGATATTACTGATTGTTACCAATTCAGCTTTTTTCTCTTTGCAGACATCTCGAGCATTTCGGGCTGTTGTGCGATACTGGAATTTTCTAACTCGACAATATCCAAGAAATAAAGTTGTATGAGTTAAGTAATATGGATTTATGTAACAATAGATTTGATTTCTGAATTAATTGTCCCGTTTGTGAGGTAAAAGAGCACGAATTCTTTATGAATCACTAATCAGTGTATCATAATTACTGACAAGTTGATATAATGATTACGCGATAGACATAGTAGCAGCTAACATGAGATCCATGATCCATTCTGAACCAGCCATTACATTGGTATTTAGTCATCACTGGTTTAACTGAAATGAAAATTCTGCAAATGTGATGTAACTTCGTTCTGATATCTTGACATTTTAGCACAATCCATGGAAGAGCTAAATGTTGTCATTTACTATTTCACTGATAAAATCCTGAAGAATGCCTTTTGCTTAAACCTCGGATGATATCTTTGCATTCAGGATATCTCAAGTATGGCAGTGTGAATAAATAAATTTGCTTCATTTTTTCTTTTCACCAATTCATCAGATTACTTTAAATGTTTGCTATTTCATTTCTGATTGACTGAGACAGAAAAAAGAATGAAAGAATTTCCTTATTTATGAATAAGCAACGTCTCCTCAAATGGATTTCTTTCATTACTTTTGGTGGGAATGATTTACTTTTCTTGATTGAAATAAATTATTATTAACTGATAAAGAAACTACCATCAGTAGCACGGTTCTCTTTTACAAGTATTAATCAGATCAACTCAGTGTTAAAATTGGGTTCAATATTTTGAGTTTCTGTTTATCAGGTACATTATCATATCAACTCAGTGTTAAAATTGGGTTCAATATTTTTGTCAGATATATTACCTTTAATGAGATAAATCTTAGAAGTGCACCAATTATTAAAGGTTAATTTCTGTATTGCAATGAAAAAGTTTGAATAGAATATTTTTATGAAAACAGAGATTTCATCAAAATTACCTTTGTATTGGCACCAAAGTGTTGTAAAAGAATCACAATTTCTAAATTCAATTTCTCCCTGAAATTGAAAATATTAAAATTTCTTTGAAAGAATTAAAAAGATGGAAGTATGGTGATAAAAAATGTTATCATACACAATACACACACACACACACACATACACACACACATACACACACATATACACATACACACACACACACACACACACATACATGCATATATACATGAATCATGGAAACTTTGGATAATACTTGTGACCTTCTGGAGATTCCAGGCACATTGTTTGTCCAAAGCAGTAGACAACGGATTGAGAACTGCGTCCCCCAATTGTCGCAGATCATTGCCAAAATGATCGTACGGTGCACTTCCTTCAACAAATATGTCAATCATTCCTTCCAGAGCTTCTTCACTTGCATATGCTGAAATTCCTGTTATCAATGGGAGACAAAAGAAGCAATCAAGCATGAATGATTCGTCCTATGTGTCACATCCTTCTTTATACAATATGCTAATATGATACATTTACATAAAATGAAATAGCTGAAAAAATCGTAAAGAAATATAAGCGCTTCATTTCTTTACCTAAAAAGAAACTTTCATTCTTTTAGTGTCACCTCAAGAAATCACTTAGTGCGACAATGTTTGCGACAATGTTCCCACTTGAAAAAGTTATAATAGACTTATAAAAATAAAAATATCAATCAACGAACTGAGGAAATTCTTCAATTCTCTTTTATTATTTGGTCGAAAAATCGTTGCAATGGTTGATTCATTGCCAAATACATGGGAACACGCATTTATTGCACCATTTACTTCTGTTACTTTTGATTGTAACTAAAAAACATTTATTGTAAAATATTTTTATTGAGAATCAGGCGGAAATGTTAATCAAAGATGTCTAATGAGCCTATTTATTCCATTTATATGCGCCCTATTTTACCTTTTCCATTTATTGTTTGAAGTCGAAAAGTCTGATATTCAGTTTGTAGTGTAAGATTCTTAAAAATCTTACACTACAAACTCTCCTTTTTATTCTTTTCTTATCTTGTATTTCGCTATTTTTTATATTTCTGCCAAGTAATTTATAATTTGTCCAACATAAAATATATCTTGGACTGGAATTTTAGGAAATAGAGAAATATAGGCCAATAGATAAGCTGATAAAGTTTATCAGAGAAGAGATTGTATGATAGATAACTTAGCCTGATGCGAAGATTTTATTAAATAATGACTTCCACAGTTTTAATCTTAGTTAGTATTAGACTTAATTTTTATTTGAATAGATTTAGCAAGAAGATTTTCTAAGTAACTTACTAAAGTTACATTGACGTGAGCGATGCATTTTTCAAGAAGCGCATAATTATTGGTTGGGATCAGTGGTAACCACTTTTCCGGACACGGACCCAGTTTCGATCCTCCATTAGTTTCCCGTACAATTACCTGTACCCAATAATATGTTTCCGTATTCATCTTTTAGTCTATTTTTTGCTTAAAATTCCGCAAGTTAAGCATACTTCCATGTAATTCTGACAATTTCCAACTACGGTACACATGTGTTACGGCTACCTTTGTACGTATACGTGAGCTCCTTTTGTGCTTGATGGGCAAATAGCTCGACATATGCGCGACTACATGCTATCACAGATTCATGTAAATCAAATGACGCCTAATGGATTGGTTTCCGTTCAATATTTCACGTTGTTAGAATAGTACAGTTTGAAAGAATCAATGGCACAGGAATTAAAACTTGTTTGAATCTAACCATCGAGATAGTTAATTTCAATAGACGTTGTGAAATTTCAGTCGATGGCAGGGTTTCTTTAAACTCACATCACGGAGGAATTGAAAAATGTTTTTGAAGTTAAAATTGAACTTCTAAGCTATAAATGATTTAGCTGTACTCTGAGGTGTAGTCATGATGCCATTTCGGTTTAATATTTTCTGTCTCCTATCCAACTCATTCAAAAATAAATGCAAAAGGTCACTTCATCATTCAATGGATGAATTACTTTCCCTATTGACTTCAACAGAATTATCTCTAGTTGAAGACAGTTTGAAATAACTTTGCAAATCTAAATTTATTCAAAGTAATCAATCGAATAACTGAATCCCATTACAGATTATATACGAAATCTTTGTCCTAAAATGTTATTAGACTGCAAAATTGACATTAACGTTTTACACGTTTTCTTCAATGCCGATTACTCTGATAAGTAACATTTACACGTTTTCCTCATTACCGATTACTCTGATAAGTAACATCAATCTCAATGATTGATAACAAACTGAAAATAACGATAGATGACATATGATTTACCGTTAGAAGCAGAAGAAGACGAACAACCTGACGATTGTACTTCATGATAAAGTGTGTATCTTCCATGGATAACAATTTATTTATTGATCTTACTCATTTCATTTCATTTTATTTTAATTTCAATTATTCAAATTTTCACTCTTTTGCTCAATTTTTCTTTTCCATTTATAGTTTACAAGAATCCATCAATGTGAACGAACATCATTTAATGAAGACTAATTTGAATGTATGGTTGGAAGATGCTTCTTAACGTGATAAACAAAGTGAGGAGAGAGATGATTAGTAATTGATTCGAATATAAAATACTGAAATAGAGGAAAGAGTGATGCGTATTTATTGACATTATTTTCTCCCTATACAATTTAATTTTTGAATTAGTCAGAGCTGATAACATTACTGATGAGTAAGCAAGCATCAAAACCTGAAGGAGTTGTTGAATAACCATCAGATGAGTAATCAGAAAACATCCAATTATCCAATTTTATTTGTCCTTTTTTCTGTTGTGAGTTTTTATGCAGTAACATGCACGTTACACGATAAATCAGTACACCTGATATTATCATAATGAAGTAAATGAAAGTAAAAATGATTATCAAATTATTGTAGACCACAAAGAGCTCCAGTGCTAATTAAAATGATGAGTCATTCTCAGTAATGAATATCAAATAGTGAAAGATGTTCATTGAAAAAGCAATTTATTGCACTTTTCCTGATCGTTTCTTGAAGTTAAACTTTTTTCTGTATATTAATTGCATGTCAAAGTGTCGCTAAGCTTTTGGTTCTCTTAAAATTTCCACATCTCATTCATTCTCATCCTTTAATAATTTATAAAAAACTCCTTCAAAACTAATCACTAATTTTTTATTTTATTTTTTTTTTGCAGAAGTGAAATAACATTGACTGAATCAAGTAAACTTAGTTATATAAAGAGTTATATAAAGATTGCATACAGTAGTGTCAACGCTTTGAATGTCCTAACTTTCTTCCAGCATTCCATTTGTTTATTTTTTGTAGAGTAACTTGAAGAGGAAATATTACTCAACATATTCCGCTTGTTTCTGGTCACAATCGACAGCTTAAGCAGTAAACGGATTAAAAGAAAGCTGAACGCTGAATATCTTTCCGGAAGATTAAATCCGGTATCAGATAGCATCAGTATCAAAAACGTGAAATGATTTTCTTGGGAGTGGATAGTTAAATATTTCTGATAATTCCAGTTTCATGTGGAAGTAGCTGAACGTAGTGATGAAAAATTTCGTTATTCACACATGTGAAATTTAAATTACAGATCTGATAACAATATGAAGTCGTTTGCTTTTTATACAGTATCATTCGTTCTGATGAAGCAAACAACAGCCTGGGGATCGCTTCCTGGATCATGTTCTTGCAGTCGGCTAGTAATATGTCCTCCGCCGGTTATATGCCCACCTAGAATCTGTCCACCGTGTCCGCTACCTGTTTCACCTGTTTCAGCTGTATACATTTCTCTTATTCAATTTTTTAAAATGGTTCTAGAAGTTTTTTGACCATTTACGCTATCCCATTTAAATGGTTATGTGAATTTTGAAAAGACATATGATTGTTAATGTTAAGTCACTAACGTCACGTTACATTACGTCAATTAGTTTTTAAATATTTTGTCAAAATTTTTACAATAAGCAATAAAAAGTTACAAGTGCTGATAATACATGTTAGAAACCGTAACGGTTAAACAGTAAGCTATAATTGTAGCACAATAATGTTATGCATATAATGCTACAAGGACTTTTATTTGGAAACTGTAATGAAACCTGATTAAAACTTCAAGTTAATAAATATATTTTCCGTAAATGATAAATTATACAGATATTATCGGAATCCACTTTCCAAAAATAATTCATAATTGTTTCCGGAACATATAATTTTGTGTAAATTGATTTGACTATTATTGTCCAAGAATATAAAATGTTTTCGATCCTCCAGTATTTCCTAAAAGGCTTTGTTGTGGTGTTCCAAAAAACCGCCAAAGATTTGTAAGATCCTTGCGGATATTCAACGATTTGTTTTTCGACGTAAAAATTAAAAGTTACATATCTAAAAAGTTTTTATGAAGATGTAACAGTTTGCTCTAATATTTCATGGTATCTAAATTCCAGAAACCACGCAGTACGATCAGTACCTGCTGCAAAACATGCATATGTTCTGTGCGCCACAGACGAAACTCTTCAAACACATTACATGAAATGAATCCTGTTTGTAATAATGATCAATTAATGATAATCATGAAAAAGGTCTACATTTAATTCCTTTTTCTTTAACACTTAAATTTTCACGCAATTTTTCTCTTTCTTTATCATTTATCATATAAGAATGATTCTTATCATCTACGCATGCGGAATGTTGCACGCAAATATATGCGATTTATATTACATC